ACATGGAGTCTAAAATAAGCATCAATTGCTAAACCAAACGTGTCTATTCGTTTGTTACGTCACTTACATAACTGTGCACACTGAGCGAATAACAATGATTTGTAGAAAAAAGTCACGACCACATGACCGTTTCGCCATTTATCGTCAATACGCTTCTATAATAACTTTCCGAATTATTACTATGCAGTTAAAATAATTCAGTCAGTTAGCATAATCATCTGGTAAATTGACCACGAATTTATTTATTTATTTTTTTCTCTTCACACATTCTATATATATATATATATATATAACTCCTTTCTTACTGACATATCATCTTTCACACAGTCCAAACCTTTTTCGGGACGGTCCTGATGCCCTTATAACCATGCAGGTAGATTTCATGATGTAACATCCTTTCTTAAAATATTATGATTCATTCCTACGCATTACATGTCCATAAAATAGACGAACTCTTGAACCTTTGACATGAACATTTCAATTTTAAATGTATTCATTCTTTATCTTATCCATTCTTGTCACACCACACATCCACCTTCAACCACAATTCAGTCAGTTAGCCCATCGTGGTAAATTGACCACGAATTTATTTATTTATTTAACTTCAATGCACACAATACAATATATAGTACAGTACATTTGGCGTACTTAACACCATGCGGTATTTTCTATCAGTCAACCATAGGTGGTGCAGAGATAAATTTATCACGATTGTTTCCAGGGGGAACCACTTGGAGGTCAACCTGACATGGTACATTACTAGCAATGGTGTTATTAGCCTACATTACTAATAATCCCCTTTCGCCCCCACCTCTAGGAGTTTTTTTATGGATGATAATGGAATGATGCACCCGCCTGCGCTAACGGTTTACGCTGGCGGGGCACCAGTCAGGTCAGTTAGCCCATCGTGACAAATTCACTACGAATTTATAACGATGGTTTCCAGGGGGAACCGCATGGAGGTCAACCTGACATGGTACATTGCTAGCAATAAGATCGTCAGTCCACATTACTAACAATCCCCTGCCCCCCTCACCTCTAGGAGTTCGAACTTCGAATTGGGCTGTCAACGTATAGAACGTTTTGAAATTTTAACCCTATTAAAATTTAAATGGCCAGGAATTTCTCTACGGCTTATCTATATACTGTGCTAATATTATAAAGACGTAAACTTAAAGAAATAATCTCTGGATCTACAAAACCGATATTGAAAATTCTTACATACTTCTTAAAATTCTACGGCCAAAATGTACGACGAAACGGCAAAATGTAACGCATGTTTGATCCCCCGTCCAATTCAAACCGGTATCGAAATTACGGTCCGAGTCGAGGTTCGCACCCCTAGCGGTGCCCGCAGACTAAAGTCGTTTCCGTCAGACGAGAGTTGGCCTTCAGCCGCTTCATAAGGAAGGACCTTTGGTTAGCTGTGCCACCTGCACTCGCCCCCTATCATCGCGTGAAGTTGTAAAGGCCAGCTGCGGCCAATAGCATTAGAGTAGTCGGAAAAAACAGACGTGGCGCGGGTCAGCTTGTAAAAAATATAATTACCGGATATCTACTATAAAACGAGGAGTAATTTGCGACGCTTTCGAGATCTAGTAATCTGCGTACAGACAGGGTAATACGCATAGTTACGTCTCGTTGACCACACTGTCTGCCATCTACCTAAATCTCTCTCGTCTCTTAATGGTTATATAATAGCTGTGGAAAAATTCCAAAGGTTTGGAGATAATTTATTACTAAACATATTTGATGGAAATATGTTACTTGAACAGATAATTTCTAAATATCATCTAGACCAGTGATTCCCAAAGTGGCCTATATCGACACTCAGGGGTCTATGACAAACTGCAAGAGATCTACGTCAGCAATCATCTCGTTGTTTTTAAATGTTTTTAAGTAGAAATTTACAAAAAATAAACACCAGGTAAGAATGGGGGTCTACCCAAAACCGAAAAATATGGCAAGGAGTCTACGAATCAAGAACTTGGGAAAGTCTGATCTAGACAATGGAACGTCACACTTGCCTACGCTAACGTTATATGTTGGCGGGCACCAGTGGAGAATGATAAGATGATAAGTAAGTGGTTCACGTTAGTAAGAACTGTCTTTCCCTGCCATTTTTTTTTAATTTATAGTATTTTCTGCTTCTTTTGTGGCGACATCCTTTTGGCCTATTTTTTTATATTTATCCTCCGTTCCATTGTTTTTTTTTCTCTTCCCTGCCATTAGATTGAGAGGACAGATATTGTAGTTGCATCACTTTAGACAGTTGCCTGGGCACAATGATTTTTCTATTAGGAACACTTAGGAAAGCAATTTAATACATAGGAATAGGGACATCAATTTTTAAACTAAAATTAATATTTATGGAATTGATTTTTTAAGTTAATACTTACATGTGCAAGAATCAGGATATTTTTTTACAATATCAGAATAATGGACTTTCAAAATTATGGAGACATGTTTTATTTTTAATTCTAGCAACTTAGTATTATTCATGTGACAATATTTGTTTTATAGTTATATAATATATAATATTCTATATAGCTTCAGGAATACTGAATATATTATTAGAATAACCATTAAAGTTTCCAATAGTTGTAATATTTTCTGAAAATAAATGATAATAATAAAACACACAACTCTATCTAGTCCCAAGCTACCAATAGAACAATACTTGAACCTGTTACATTAAAAATTAAGCAGTGTGCTAAATCTCTAAATCATCGAAGTATAAAGTAGAAAGTTTTTGCAGTTTAACTTGATTTTTAATATTTTTTTCTACTATGTCATATACTAATGTATGTGCACAATAAAATACATACAAATAATATATTTGAATTGAGAATCTAATGTTTGATGTTGGTTGAAAAGAAGGTTTTAAATTATACAAGTCATTGTTGTTGTTTCTAATTATAATGCAGTTTCGATGTTCAATTTTATGAAAATAACAAATATTCCCATATTTTTAAGTTTTATTAGAGTAGCTTTGCATATAAACTATATTTTTCTATACTTGTTATATGAGTTGTATTATACAAACATAATTTTTTTATTTTATTATCTTTCCTTTTCCAAGGGCAGTCAGCCCTTGTGATATAACTATATGAGTGTATTATACATACATAAATTTAAATTTTTATTATTTTTCTATCTGCAATCATTTCCAGTTATAATTAGAATGTTTTTACCTATAATATATGAGTGTATGTGTAATACATAAATTTTTCTTTTTGTTTCTTTACTATCTGCAGTCAATTCTCTCTCTCTCTCTCAGTCTCACAAAATTCATACAAGTATATGATTGTATTATACACATATAAACCTCTGAAAGAAGTTACCGAAAAACAGTATCTAATAATATAATATTTTTTTAATTATTATATTTTACTGTTAGGCCTGTTTCCATAGGTTCACTGGGAGAGAATGCTATAGGATTAAATTTTGAAATATCTCAAAACAAATTATTATTTAAAAGAGCAATGTACAAGTTTTATGCTCGTTCTTCTTGTGATTAAACAAACTTTCTGAATGAGCAGTAGATTAAAATTTTTGTTATGACTATTCAAAAGTGCTTAAATTAAGTTTATTTTAATAAATGATGTTCTCTTCTATTCTATTCTTATCTAACAAAATTTAGGACTCCAGACACTTGTCATATCTGTCACTCCTTAACCTCCATAACATAATTTATGAACAAAAAAAAATCATAAATTTAGGTTTACAATTTGCAAATACATAATATAACATAGCATACAAATAAAAATATATTATCAAACAATAATAATCTAACTAATCTTACATGCCTATCTGATAATTTAGGCTTTTAACAATAACTAGTTTTAAGTAATACTTTAAAAATGACCTTGTTATGACCTCAGGCGTTTTATTTTCAAGAATGAATATTATTTTTAAATCAAATCGATTAATTTATTAATAGTCATGTTTACAATGTTTTTTTGGCACAATGCAGAAATGTAGGTGTAATGTAAACATACAAAAGGGGATATTACATGAAATATGTTGATTTAGGAATGCAAAAAATTATTTTATTTATTAAAACTTTAATGCACAAATTTATAAATATAGATGCATATGGCATGCATGCATACTCAACAGCTTGAGGTATTTTCTAATACCTCAAGCAGAGAGAAAATAAAAGATTTTTGTGGGCAGTATATTTAACAAGTTTTTAATTAACAATCTATGATTCAGATTTAAACAAATCCTTAATCATATATAATAGATAATATTAAATAAATAATTTGTCAGTTCATAAATTTATTTAAGCTTTCTTGGTGTTATTATAATGTTGCTTAACACTTTGTTCTTATATTTATGTAATGATTTTATTACAATTTATATGATATAATAATTTTAATGCTACAGTGAGAATCATGGTTTTGATTTGATGTGATGTAATCAATGTTATTCTATTCTACTCAAAGTTGAATAATAATCTAATAATCAGATCAATTGTTGTGTCTACATAACAGCAAGATTTGAATTTGAAATAGTATAATATACACTCCATAAAAGAAAGAATTATTTATCTATTAACAACATTGATGCTGAAGTAAAAAGGAATTACATAAAGCATCAGTAGAAATAACAAAAATAACACAGTCATAACAAACATTTATTTTTTGCTGATATATTTTATCAGTTAAGTAGATGCAAAATTATAACAGTAATGAAATCATTTAAATTCTGTCAGCTATGAGATCTGGTTCATTGTCAACTTGTGAGTGTCCATGACCTTGCTGAAGGTATGAACTTCGCCTTAACAGGTCTGATGGCCAGTTCGACCAGCATATCACGTTCCTAACATATCGATTACTATATAGAGCAACTACCTACGATAAACCCACGCTTTGTTATCAAACATGTACTGATAACTCAATGCGTCAATAGGTTACTACAACAGAACTGCGACATAATACAGTTGGAACTCAGCCAGTACAAAAAAAAACAAGAAAAATGAAAGATTCACTCACTCGATGTCAGCTGCGAATTTCTCCGTGCCGCGATTTTTCCAACAGACACAATACTCAATCTTACAGTACTCATTATACTGAGGGATAACGACTCACAAATAATAACATCGGCTTCGCCGAATCGCGACAAGTACGACGCACGAGCGAAATAGAAATTACAAACTAATGTAATATGCAAGTCGCAATTTTTATTGTATTTGTTTGTCAGTAAGAGGTTTCTGTCATGACGCAACACTTTTAGTCAACATCAACACCGACACTATTTCTAAACACGTTTACACGATGTAAGTACGAAAAATGCACTGTTCTATTTTTTTGTATGATTTTTCAAAAACAAATTTATTTTTTAGTTATTTGAGCGGCCATACTGATGTTCACAGCTGATTTTGATGTGAAAGAATTGAAATTTTCTTGTACCACGTTGTTTCGATACTCTTGCCATCTATTAAAGTAGAGGGGGAAGCTTCGTGCTGTTTTATCATACTTCGAGAGTTTTGTTACTTACAGTGCCACTAGATGGTGCTGATTACATATTTGCGAAATAATGATAATAAAAAAATATATAAATTCCATTTATGACTGTCACTTGAAAAGTAAGTTTTATATTATAATAAGATCAACTTTAGTCAATTTTTTATTTCAACTGATTTTTCTTTTTATACATAGAATTTATTTTTCTGCTTTATGTGGAACGTTTTTCTAGAAAATATTTTTTTAACTAGTAACATCAAAAAGTGAATGTCAAATTGTCAAATTAAAATGAATCTGTGGTGAAACTGAGCAAAATGGCTGAGACAGAAACCGATAATAACAGTATTATAAGGCCTGAAAGAAATAATAGGGTCACAGTCCCTAGTAATGGGCCCCGCCGCGTTACTATCTATAAAACAGAGACTGGTTTTGGTTTCAATGTTCGAGGACAAGTGTCTGAAGGTGGGCAGCTTAGATCGATCAATGGGGAACTCTATGCTCCTCTGCAGCACGTCAGCGCTGTCCTGGAACAAGGAGCAGCTGAACTGGCTGGTATCAGGAAAGGAGACAGAATCCTCGAAGTGTAAGTATTCATTTAATGTATAACTTTACTGAGGAAAGTGATAGATGTCCCGATTGGCTACCAGGGTAGGAATTTACAAGTGTTGTTTGTAATATTCAACCTAGCAACGCACTTACTATCGTTTATTTACATGAAACTGATGTGAGCTAGCTTCTTCTGTACCAGAAAGTATATTGGAATTATTCTGACTAAGTTTATAGAAGGTGATTTACATAAGTATGAATCATGCTAAAACTTGTTTTGTAGTGGCTACGAACTGAATTTGAATTTAGAACGAAGGTGTTTTTTTTTATATGAGTAAAATTTAAAAAATAAATGGTATATAAACTAAAATGGATGATTTTTATCATCATATCCTTCAATTTAACTTGTAATAGTATCATTATGTATTATTTCCAGACTTACAAAAAGCGCCAAAAAAATTTTACCTTTGTCCTGTTCTTTGTAAAATAAGTTTCTGTTATAATATTTATTTTATAAATTAATTTCTGTTATATTTGTTAGTACACACAGTACAAGCTCTGCTTGGTTTGGCCACAAAGTGTGGAAATTGTCCTGATTTATTATTTCTTTAGATCTTCTATCCTTTTAACCTTGAAAATGCAAAATAAATACATTCATACATATATGCTGTCTCCCATTAATAAAATATGATTAACAGTAATTAGATTAGATAATCATGATGTGATTTCTATGTTATTTTGTGAAATAAGAACACAAAATTATTGATAAATATATAATTGATAGCATAAAATACATACTTACTGTCATAATTGCACACATTCCAAACTTGTCCTTGGTTACCTTTCTATATTTACTGCCTGCACTCTTATACAATTTATAGCATGGTAATATTACGCCAAGAGTTACCTAATAATTTTGTGTAACTTAAAAATTCTCTATTGTATATATTATTTTTAAATTATAAAACTTCCTTTTTAAATTGATTATTGAAAGAGTTCGTATAATAAGTGACTTTGAGAAAGTGTGCATAGTACAATAATTGTTTAATATGATTAAAAATATATCAGAGTGACAGAAAGTGGATTTTGTTGTTGAGAAAATAAACTATGCTCTGCACTGATTTAAGGAATTTTATTGTTTAGATTATTTAGTGCACAGCCAGTGTGAATATAAACTACCAACCAGCACTAATTTATTAGGGACAAATATAAATACATAATAAGATTAAATCAGTCCTATTGATAAGAGCATTTCAAAATGTAGAAACATATGTATGGTTTCTTTAGAAAACATTACAAGTGTTTATTCAATTATGTTCTACAGTTGTTTAAAACCTGTATACTGCAGTTAATAAAGGACATAAGAAACTTCTTAGCATTCCATGATTCATGGTGCGGAAACTAGGTCCAATAAACTATAATCTGCATAACAATAGTGACCATTACCAAATACTGAAAAAATATTGAATAATCAAACCCAATGAAAGTAAAATAAAAAAGTTTTATCATTCTAGCTTAAAAAATTACGATTTTTCGTACAGAATGCCATACAACTCAATCAACAGCTTAAAAAATAAGTTTCATGCTTCTAGCTTTAAAAATGACGATACTTCCATACAATCCCTCATTTCTCTTTCAAGCCCTTACAACCCTTTTTCACACTAAAATGTAAAGTATATTGTCCCTTTTCAGGGTCTAGACTATGCTTATACGAAATTAAATTGAAATCGGTTCAGTAGTATTAGCGAGAAAGACAGACAGACATTACTTATCTGTACATCTATACTCTATAGATATAAATAAAACTGGAATGTCTGTTTGTAATATTGAAATAACAGTTTTTTACTACATGCATATGAATATAAATACGGTACATATACCAAAATGACATTTTTTACAATTTTTGTATCTGTCTGTCTGTTCGTTCCGGCTAATCTCTGAAATGGCTGCACCGATTTTGACGGGACTTTTTTTGGCAGGTAGCTAATGTAATAAGGAGTAACTTAGGCTAGTTTTATTTTAGAAAAATGAAGTTAAATTCCACGCGGACGAAGTCGCGTCTACAGCTAGTACATAATATGAGGTATACAAATGTTTGTACCGTGCGAGGAATCGGACCCGCGACCATCAGAAGTAAAGCGGTGCGCTAAACCGCTCGGCTACTGTGTTCTGATTTATTATTTATGTTTGCATTAAGTGATCAGTATAATAATTATAACACATTGCTATACACAATCAATTGCTATTAATCTCACTAATTACTGCAACTAACACATTAAAGGGGCCAAGTATGTACATATCAGCAATGCAACGCGTGTTGCACAATCAGTTTTTTTTGTTGTCATAGCTATATACCCCAGTTCTGTATGTATTAGGTCAGCCCGACAATATATCTTATTGTACATTGGTTTATGTAAGTAATGATTGCTGCCAATACCGTAGTAGATTTATTGAGACGGCCTCGATGGTGTAATGGTTTAGCACACCGCCTTCCGGAGGTGGCGGGTTCGATTCCTCACGTTCACATTCCTCGTTCACGACACAAACATTTGTATTCATTACTATGATTGTTTGTATCGGTCTAAGTGTTTTCTATAATATGTATGTATGTATTTACGAAAAAAAATCTACGTAATTGTATCAGATATTTAGTGCCCATAACACAAGCTTTGTTTAGCACAACGCCTTACTTCCGGAGGTTGCGATTGTGTTGGGTTCGATTCCTCGCACTGCACAAACATTTGTATTAATGAGTATGATTCTTTGTATCGGTCTGGGTGTTTTCTATTTATAATATATATATGTATTTATAAAAAACAAATATCTATGTATTTGTATCAGTTGTCTAGTACCCATAACGCAAGCTTCAGCTAGTTTAACTTGGGTTTAGATGGCGCTGTGTGAATTGTCCTGAGATTATTATTATTATTAAGATGTAAAGTACAGTAGTTTAAATGATTATTTTATACACAAGGGTGTGGAAAGAAACACCTTTATCTTCTATACAAGAAAAGAAACATAAAATCAAATGTGGTCTATTTGATTTTATACTTTTTTCCGTGTATAGAAAAATAATACAATTTTTTAACAATCACGATGGTCTAGCGGTTTACCACGTCGCCTTACTTCCCATGGTCACAGGTTCGAGTCCTCGCACGGCACTACATTTGTGTTCATGAGTATGATTCTTTGTATCGGTCTGGGTGTTTTCTCTATACAATATGTATGTATTTACGAAAAAAATCTAAGTATTTGTATCAGTTATCTACTGCCCATAACACAAGCTTTGTTTAGCAAAACGCCTTCCTTAGGTTGTGGGTTCGATTCCTCGCACGGCACATTTGTTTTAATGAGTATGATTGTTTGTATCGGTCTGGGTGTTTTCTATAATATGTATATATTTACGAAATAAAATCTTTGTATTTGTATCAGTTATCTAGTGCCCATAATACAAGCTTTAGCTAGCTTACTGTTGTAGTTTTATTTTAGTCAGGTATAGATAAAAGGAAAAAGATTTGGTATAAAGAAAAAGTATATTTAGAAAGACTATTGACAACAGAATAAAGTATCAAACAAGAATGTACAATGAAAGAACTATAAATTTAGAATATAAAATACATTTTTTTTATACTACAATGGTGGCAATCAAGCATACTGCCCATCTGATGGTAAAGTGTTACCGTAGCCTATGGACGCCTGAAACACCAGGGGTATCACTTGCGCGTTGCCGACCCTTTCATTCATTCATAATTTAAGAGCTACGCTCTTGTCGGTGGAGCTCTTGCCACTTTCCGCGTTCTTCCATCATGCTCTTTAATTCTTGCCGACCCTTAAGAAACCTTAATATACCCTTCTTGAAAAACCCCATGCTGTAGTCTCGTGGGAAAACCTCGGCAGGAAGTTCATTCCACAATCTAGTGGAATGAACTTCCTGCCGAGGTACGCGGGAGAAAACTCCTCTGAAACCGCACTGTTTTCTTATTACCCAGTTACAACACTTATATTGGGTCTAGATGGCGTTATGTGAATTGTCCTGAGATTATTATTATTACATACCTTTACAGGAGGATGTCACGTTATAAATAATATGACCATACCAGTCAATACCAGTTAATAAGGACTCGTATCCTAATGACACGGCGCATATAAATAATGATTGCATTGTGGTCCAAATACCCAACCTAGTTAACTGTTATCACAAATGGTTACCGGGTAATGTGGCGGCATTAGACCTATTTCATAATTACAATTGAAATAACTGAGTTTAATTATATATTTTTAAATTTGGAATGCTTTTGTAAGTTTATAAAATGTTTCACTTTGTTTATTGAGTAAGTGTTACTATTCTGTAGATAACTATTATAATGATGACCATAAAGACTTTCTTTTTTGGTATAACACTTAGGTGGCAAACAAGGATACGGCCAATCTGATGGTAAACGGCTACCGTAGCCTATGGATGCCTGAAACAACAGGGGTGTCACGTGCGCGTTGCTGACCCTTAATAAACTTTAATATATCCTTCTTGAAAAACCTTATAAGGACCTAATGCACTATGCTAGCTTACATAACGATATTTACTGCTTAAGTTGCTATTATGTTGTATTCACTGCAATGTTACTATTATGTTATCCTACACAATTTGTATTGTTTTAGACAAATAAATAACCTGTTTATACCTATAATTGGGAAACATCACGGAATCTTACTATTTTTTGTTTTTATGGAGTTCACAATATTTCGGCAATGTTTCAACCGCCATGATCACGGGTAAACTGAAATCAATAAAAATTAAACGCGATCCCGAGATCCCGAATTTTTTTCTAATAAAAATAATAAATAAATAATGACCGCGTCACATTTAAAACAATTTATAATATGTTTAACTGTTCTTGTAAATTAGATTTGTCGCTTTTTCAGCCCTTAATTGAGCCGAAGCAGCTTTTATAAGATTCTAAAATAGAAATATAAATAATATTCAAATAAACTTAAGCTCGTTTGAATAGTTTTGTTTTCTTATTCGGAGCACGGACTCTTTTAAATAAATGTTCAGAGTTACATTTTTAGAAATTTCGTGGAATACAAACTTCCAAATAGCAAAGTTGACATAAGTAAATAAATAGTTACTTGAGAAACATTTGGCATACACGTAGTATAGGGACGCTGAATTATATATTACTTGTTATCCCGATCAATTGATTTATACTGGCCACGTTAAGATATCACAAATAGAATATTAAAAAAGGGCTACATATTGGAAATATTTTTAAAATGAATATAAATGGGCGAAACCTTTGGAATAACCTGAGCTAAAGGCAGAAAATATATGAGCGCACAAGCCCATATATTTTCTGCATTTAGCTCAGGTTTTTCCAAATCTCTTGTAACATATTTTCTATACCTGTAATTATAGGTTTCAACCGCATGAAATTTATAGCCTATATGTTATTCTGATGTGTAAGCTATATTACTGTAAAGTTTCATCAAAATCCAAGTTTTTGTGTGAAAGATCCATCCATCTTTCCATATTTACAAAATGGGTTTTATAATATTTTAATAAGACGATAAAAAATTTACAACAAATATTGGAAAAGTGATGAAATCTCTGAACAGTTATGAAAAGAGATTTGAATGATCTGATTAATGATTTATGACTTTGAACTGCTATTGGTATTGACGTCAAACAAATATTTACTCTTATTCCCTTTTTACGTTGACACGTTTATTTCATACCGGCCTATTTAAACTGACATATTGACCGGGTTGAATCCTGTGTCATTAACGAATATTAACTGCGCATTATTATTGTTTGTTTATTAATAAGTTTGTTAATGTTAGATAACTAATGTCATTACTAAATAGTAGTCATTATATCATGTTCGTGTACACGTTTTGTATAAAAGCTAACGACGCTACGAAAATTTTACATTTAAAAAAATAATTTACTATGAAATAGACGGCTAAGTGGTTATAAATTAAATTGTGGCGAAGGAACAAAACGTATAAGTTTTTATTTTCCGAAAAGAGGTTTTATTATTTTTGAGAATATATGTCGATGTAGTGGTGTAGTTTTAAATTCAATCGTGGCAAAGGAACGAATCGTATAAGTTTTTATTTTCCGAAAAGAGGTTTTATTATTTTTGACATTTTGTGTCAATGGTGAGTGAGGTTTACGCGAGGCTTCTAAAATGTCAGTGGAAAGAGGTGGGGTGGGGGACTTCCGCTATTGTTTTTATTATTGCCCTACCACCGGATTCGAGATTTATGATCTGGAGACACCTGAGGAAGCGTTAGCTGCTTATAACAGGTAAACTGTCAATGTAAAAAATTATTTAACTATCTCAGTGGTTAGACGTTAGGTAGACCACTAACTGGACTGCTAAGGCACATTGCATTACTTCCGTTGGTCGCGAGTTCGAATCCTCGCACTGTACAAACATTTGTATTTAAATAAATATATGTATGTATTTATATCAGTTGTCTAGTACCCATAACACTAGCTCTGCTTACTTTCAGACTTTACCTGTTCAATACTTCCACTGTCATAGGTTGCCTCTCTCAGAAGAGAGGAGATCTCTTTTAGAGATAAGCCCACTCATTCTCTAATTTTTTATAAGAATATTATATCTTGTATATAAAATTCTCGTGTTACAATGTTAGTTACCATACTCCTTCGAAACGGCTTGACCAATTTTTATGACATTTTATATGCATTTTCAATAGGTCTGAGATATTAGGCTACTTTCTATTTTTGGGTTGTCCACCCCTAACATTTATATGTATTTTTTGGAAAACAATTTTTTGTAATTTTATAATGTGACATTAAAAATACACACAATTCTAAATTTCCATCGTTATATCTGCAAGCCCAATTTTTTAAAAGCGATTTTAATTTGTATTTGGTAAAACGTTTGCGGGTTCAGCTTTATTACAAATGCAAATATCTTTATTGTGCCTGAAAAGTGGTGTACAGGATTTTAAAAAATTATAATTTACTAGCTGTCCCGGCAAACGTTGTTTTGCCATATAAATTAATAACGATATAAAAAATAGGGTTTGATGATAGAAGGATGAAAATTTAGGATTATATGTATTTTTGTATGTTGCATCATAAAAAAAAAGAAACTAAAAATTTTGTCTAAAAAATAAAAAAAAAATTTAGGGTTGGACTACCCCTAACATTTAGGGGGATGAAAAATAGATGTTGGCCGATTGACCTACTCAATACGCTCACAAAATTTCATGAGAATCGGTCAAGCCGTTTCGGAGGAGTATGGGAACGAAAACTATGACACGAGAATTTTATATATAAGATGTATCACACTTTTCACCAGAAACTGGCATGTAAACTTTAACAGTGTCCATTTATTATATGAGTATTCATATTTATCAGTTTCTTTTTTATTGTATTCATTATTAAATTAAATTTCTAGGCAAAGTACTTCGATTACCTACCTTCATGAATTAAAATTATTAATTATTATATATCTAAATGCAATAAAGAGTACTAATTAATTTGTAATTATCCTTAATTTTCACGCTATATCATAATTGACCAATAATATAAATATTAAACATATACCACATATATGTTGTAAATAAATTATGATTACAGTATTATACAGTATTATTAATATGAGTTATTACTTGTATCTCTTTGCTCTATGATCCGAGTGTATTTTAATCCGGCTGATTATGCGAACTCGTGTACGTTGTAAATATGATGAGTTCATGATAACAGTTATATGGTCACCAGTTCACTAGATATATAGAAGTAGTATGGTATGGTTTTTTTTTTTAAAAGATGATAATGGAATGGTGCACCCGCCTGCGCTAACGGTTTACGCTGGCGGGGCACCAGTGGAGTATGATAAGATGAGTATGATGTCTGACCAGTTAGCCCAACGTGACAAATTCACCGGGAATGTATCACGATGGTTTCCAGGGGGAACCGCGTGGAGGTAGTATGGTATGGTTAGAGACACGACTTATTGTATTTATCTGGTCAAATTTTCTGGGAAGTTCTCTCTCTATTCCCTCTTCTCTCCGAACAACCGGCGTCAGATTTCTGTCCTCTAAAATTTAATTTATTAATTTTTGAATTGGACAAATTTGCGTGAAAGGTATATATTTATATGTAATATGGCGTTTGAGTAATAAAGCGACAAATAGGTAGATATAAAATTAAATTTCATTCCACACATGTTAAAAGAAATGTATGTATTTATATCAGTTGTCTAGTACCCGTAACACAAGGTCTGTTTAGCTTGAGACTAGATGGCGTTGTGTGAATTGTCCTGAGATATTATTATTATTATTATTTGAAAATTCAGTAACTATTTCGAGCCTACAGGAATCCTGCAATTTGTGACCCAGAAACTAATAATCGGTAATCTAAGGAACACGCGTACTCGTGTACGATGTAAATATGATGCGTTCACGATAACAGTGATATGGAGGTCACCATATATCACTGTAATGCATTTAATAATAATAATATTAATAACTATATAGAACTACAGAAATCCACAGTATTAGGTACGTTGTTCAATAAATAATAACCCTGGACAATTAACAGAGCGCCATCAAGTCCTACGGTAAGCAAAGCTTGTGTTATGGGTACTAGACAAGTGATATAAATACTTATATATATATAATACTTAGATTTTTTTTTGTAAATGCATATGTGCACAGTATGCATACATAGAAAACACCCAGACAGATAATCATACTGAATATGAACTAAGGAATACAAATGTTGCACCGTGCGAGGAATCGAACTTCCTTGATCGAATTCTTAAAATCACTATAAAACTACAATATTCTTGTGATGGGCATTCCGAATGAGTGGTAGATTTACAAAAAATAGTATTACGATGTGCCTACACTTGTAGGTAATATTTCTGTCAACACTTGAGACCCTTCCATTAGTTGACGTTTAGTCTCCACTAACATAGATTTAAGTTAAGTGTAAAATCAGCCTACGTCCCGACTCCACGTACTTAAATTCTTTATTCAAATAAACTTAAAGACTAATCTTTAAGTTTATTTGAATAAAGAATGTTTCTATTTCTATTCCAATTGGTTAACAGATGATAAGTTATACTGGTATGAATCCACGGCTTAACTAGTATCTAAGATGTTCCATTCTTTGTTCCAGCAACGGCGTGAACGTCGAAGGCTCAACACATAGGCAGGTGGTCGACCTTATCAAGTCGGGGGGCGACTGTCTCACACTCACAGTTATCTCTGTCACGCAAAGGGTGAGTCATGAATTCTATATATATATTTTTTTTATATATATACTATGATGGTGGCAATCAAGCATAGGGCCCATCTGATGGTGAATGGTTACCGTAGCCTATGAACGCTTGAAACACCAGGTGTATCACGTGCGCGTTGACACATTCGACCCATGCCCTTATTTTATTGCTCATTTTCTTTCAAACTAACTCCTACATGATCTTCACAAACAAGCTGACGGTCCACTTGGTGGAATGTGGGAACCGTCAACTCTATATATGAAGCGTAACGGGTACACGTTATGTACTAGCATTTGCACTCCTTCACTATCTATACTAGTACTAGTATATAAAGCTGTAGAGTTTGTTTGTTTCTTTGAATGCGCTAATCACAGGATCTACTGCTTCGAATAGAAAAAATATATTTGTGTTGGATAGTCCATTTGTCGAGGAAGGCTTTAAGGTATATAACATTACGTTACGACCAATAGGAGCGAAGCTGCAATGAAAAATGTTGCAAAAGGTGGGGAAATGAATCTCTGTTTGCCCTATGGTTGACTGGGAGAAAATGCCTCTAGGTGTTAAGTCCGCCATGTGCACCTTTATTAATGTATCTGTGCATTAAAGTTTAATAAATAAATAAATAAATAAAAAATGAAGCGCAGACGAAGTTACGCGGGTCAGCTAGTATAAAATATCAGTGTGTGAAATTTCATTCTCCTCACTCCATGCAATTTTCGAAAAAGGTTTAAGATTTTAACTTAAAGGTTTTGCTTCACGTTCTAAATCGCGTATACATGTTAGGAGGCAGAACGTTTAGAACCCTGTGATGATGGGTCAGCGCCAGTCGGAGTCATCGGCGGCGCGGCCAACTCCCGCGCCACAGTCTACCAGCGGTACGACTACACAGACAAGCGGTCTCTGCCGGTCTCCATCCCAGACTACCGCGTTGTTATGGAGCGGAACACCGGCAGGTCGTACATTGCGTTCAACGTACACATGGCCGGGAGGCATCTATGTAGCAGACGATATAGAGAGTTCGCTGCTCTACACCAACAGCTGAGGAAGGAGTTTTTGGGTGAGTGTCTCTTAGTTCACATACAACACACGCACAATCACACAGACATACACTACTTTGTTGCCTAGTCTAAATTTCTCTGATTCTCGTCTAAGTTCGGAACTGTCTGATTACCCATGTACCGAGTATGGGGGCGGAATACTTGTAACACAGTTTGTCCTAGCACAGGTTCCATTCCTTTCTCAAAAAACTAAACAGTTTACTACCGAGGCCGTGATGGCTGTTTTGTTCATATTAAATGGCACTCATACATTGCTATTCATGAAGGACTGATGCTTCAGTGTCCTGTTCTTTCACTGCCATGTCTCACCCTTCTAAATACTATACACCGTTCATAACATCGTATGCACCCTTAAATTTATTTTTTCCAAATTTTATACTTACTACTTGTGATGAGTGTGCGTTCCGAATGAGTATTAGAATAAAAAAATATAACTATTCAAAAGTGCTTATACTAAGTTTATTTTGATTATTAATGTAATAATTGTTTCTAATTTTCTTGCAGGATTCAATTTTCCAAAGCTACCGGGCAAATGGCCGTTCAATCTGAGTGAACAGCAGCTGGACGCGAGGCGGAGAGGACTTGAACAGTATTTAGAGAAGGTGCACCATAAATGCATATAATTAATACAAATTGATTTTTCAATAGATAAATGTGGCATTGTTCTTGTGTGCTCATCGCCTACATTATATTTCTCTTTATTTAGGAACTTTATAGCATTTTCTAAACTCACCGGAAGCCATCTCAGATGGTATGACCATGTAATGCGAAAAGACGAGGCTTTACAACTACCTGTAAGAGAGGTAGAGGACGTTCTGGCACTACCTGGTAGACTAGCATGGGAAATATCATCGAGAGGGAAAAATTGTCCGACTCGACAACACATGATACACTGTCCTGGCACCGCAAAATTAATTGGCCTCCGTAATTCTGGCTAGTTCCTGCCCTCTCGTTTCCCATTATGACAATACGGGAAGGAACCCATTGCAATCTTATACCAACTTTACTGTTTTTTATTTCTTAAATTTGATTAGATGAGTTAGTATTAAAGACTGTAATTTTTTCCAGGTGTGTGCAGTACGTGTAATAGCTGAATCAGATGCGGTACAAGAGTTCCTAACCGATTCCGATGACTCCTCGAATCCAACACCCGTGGATCTGAAAGTCCTCCTTCCAGACAAGGAGGTGGTCACCGTCTCAGTTCTAAAGTCTACCAACGCGGATGACGTGTACCGAGCTGTTTGTGAGAAGATAGGTTTATCGAAGTCGGTTCAGAAATATTTTTACCTGTTTGAAATTGTGGAGTACAATTTTGGTGAGTGGGAATTCTTAACGTTACTAGATTATCTTAATTCACAGACAGTGTTTTGGCATATAGCTAATAAATATTATAATTTTAAATTATAGAACGCAAGCTCCAACCAAATGAATGTCCACACTCGCTATACATACAGAATTACTCAACGGCATCCAGCAGTTGCCTGTCGATACGCAAGTGGCTGTTCAACCCCGAAAGAGAGATATCTGTTGTCAAAGAGGACAGTAAAGCTGCCGCATTCATATTCTGGCAGGTAGGTGTAGTGCATAAATGTGCATAATGGGGCATATGTTAACGAGTTCTTATTGCGAAAAGTCACAAATATGTACTGTTACCATAACTTCTGGTTACACAGTTAACCTTCCTCGCACTCGAATCGAATCACGAACACGATGTCCAAAATTTTTGAAAGACCAAAATATCCATTACTCCGTAAATTGTCAACACGAGGTTCAAAATTTTCGAATGACCAAAATGTTTCACATTCCCGTAAATCACGAACATGATGTCCAAAATTTTTGAAGGACCACAATATTCCTTACACCCGAAAATCGTGAACACGAGATCCGAAATTTTCAAAAGACAAAAATGTTCTCACACTCGAAAATCGTGAACTCAATATTTAATGGGCTCGAAGGACTAAAATGTTTTTACACCCTAAAAACATGAACACGAGGTCCAGAAGGTTTTGCACATTCGAAAACGCTAAGGTCAAAAGTATCAAAACGTACCAAACAAAATAGCTAACAAAGCGAGCGGCGTACTATTGTATGTCGTCGTTCGTATTCAACTGTCGTAACTCCCCGAGCGAGCACTGAATGAGAAGCGTTCCCTGTGTATGACGAGTGCGTCGGTGGGTGTGTTCGGCAGGCCGTGGAGGACGTGAACCGCGGCGTGTGCGTGGCGGGCGCGCGGCTCTACCAGCTGAAGGCGCTGCAGGACGTGCGCCGCGCCGCCGACTACCTCGCGCTCGCCCGCACCCTGCCCGGCTACGGCGCGCTCGCCTTCCCGGCCGCGCGCGCCGACCACCACCACGCGGCCGCGCTCGCACTCACGCTCGGTACGTACTACCTCGCGCTCGCCCGCACCCTGCCCGGCTACGGCGCGCTCGCCTTCCCGGCCGCGCGCGCCGACCACCACCACGCGGCCGCGCTCGCACTCACGCTCGGTACGTACTACCTCGCGCTCGCCCGCACCCTGCCCGGCTACGGCGCGCTCGCCTTCCCGGCCGCGCGCGCCGACCACCACCACGCGGCCGCGCTCGCACTCACGCTCGGTACGTACTACCTCGCGCTCGCCCGCACCCTGCCCGGCTACGGCGCGCTCGCCTTCCCGGCCGCGCGCGCCGACCACCACCACGCGGCCGCGCTCGCACTCACGCTCGGTACGTACTACCTCGCGCTCGCCCGCACCCTGCCCGGCTACGGCGCGCTCGCCTTCCCGGCCGCGCGCGCCGACCACCACCACGCGGCCGCGCTCGCACTCACGCTCGGTACGTGCTATATATTTTAGTAGCAATTACGCTTAAACTTATCGCGCTGATAGATATTTCCCGGCCGCGCGCGCCGACCAAACGCGGCCGCGTGATCATACACTACCTCGCGCTCGCCCGCACCCTGCCCGGCTACGGCGCGCTTTCCCGGCCGCGCGCGCCGACCATACCACGCGGCCGCGAGCTCGGTACGTACTAGTGTGCCTTCCCGGCCGCGCGTGTGCAGGATGGTCGGTACGTACTACCTCGCGCTGCAGCTGCGGGCGTGTGGCGAGCCGCGCGCGGACGCGGCCGCGCTCGCACTCACGCTCGCGTACTACCTCGCGGGCGCGTCGCCTTCCCGGCCGCGCGCGGCCACGCGGGCGGACGCTCGGTACGTACTACCTCGCGCGCGGCCGCGCGCGGACCACCACCACGCGGCCGCGCTCGCACTCACGCTCGGTACGTACTACCTCGCGCTCGCCCGCACCCAGCCCGGCTACGCGCGCTCGCCATCCCGGCCGCGCGCGCCGACCACCACCACGCGGCCGCGCGTGCGGCACTCACGCTCGGTACGGCCCGCACCCTGCCCGGCTACGGCGCGGTCCTGCCGCGCGCGGACGACGACGCGCGCGCCGCTCGGTACGTACTGCGCGCTCGCCCGCACCCTGCCCGGCTACGGCGCGCTCGCCTTCCCGGCCGCGCGCGCCGACCACGACAACAGACGTACTACTCGCGCTCGCCCGCACCCTGCCCGGCTACGGCGCGCACACCACGCCGCGCGCACTCACGCTCGGTACGTACTACATAGCGCTCGCCCGCACCCAGCCCGGCTACGGCGCGCTCACCTTCCCGGCCGCGCGCGCCGGACGACAACAGATACTACTGCACACGCCCTACGTACGTACACACCGCACTACGGACGACAACAGGCTACGGCGCGCTCGCCTTCCCGGCCGCGCACACGCCCTACGTACGCACCGCACTACGCCGCGACAACCACGCGGCCGCGATACTACTGCACACGCCCTCGCGCTATGCTACACACCGCCTTCCCGGCCGCGCGCGCCGACCACCACTACGGACGCTCAACGTACTACTCGCGCACACGCCGGCTACGGCGTACGCCTTACACACCGCACTACGGACGACAACGATACTACTGCACACGCCGCGCGTATGTACACACCGCACTACGGATAGATATTTTAAAATTATTTGTGAGAGTATTGTTCATCAATATCAGCATCGGAATCGCAGCTGACTTTTATTAAATTTTATAATGTAACTGTAATATTTTAATCAAGAAACAAAAAGTTTTAATCCGGGAGGAAACGGCTCGAGGTATTGAGGGTAGTGTATGATGTATACAGAGTGTAATGTAAGTGTGTCGTGTGCAGGATGGTCGGGGTTGCACGGACGACGGAAGGGCGCAGATACTGGACGGTGGCGCAGCACACTGGCGCGCGGACGACGACGCCGCCGCACTGCGGCTACACTACGGACGACAACAGATACTACTGCACACGCCCTACGTACGTACACACCACACTACGCACGCAGCAACTGTTTATATTTTATTTTTAGTAAAGCTTAAATTCGAGCGTGTGGAAATGAATTCATTGACAGAGACATTTTCACACATAAATTAAAAACATTTGCCGGTCGATAACTATGTCAATCTATACACATATAAATGCAATCTTATACATGCACATGCTACTAATAAAAGATACACATTATAGACGTACAAAAAAAGGTTTAGTTATGTCTTCAGTCCTCTATAATCCGGCTCGAAGGACCATTTGAGTAACGGACCCAAAAAGTAAAAATAAGAATAATTCAAATTTCGAATCATGATCACATTTACACATCACATTTAACCTTAGAGATACTCAAATAACGTCAGGGAGAGATAAGTAAAAGTGAATATTATGATATAAACAAATAGTTAGCACGGGACACGTCGTTTCAGGCGTTCATAGGCAGTTCCTATTCTAAGGCAGATATATTATAAAATATATCTGCCTTAGAATAGGAACACCGAATAAAACTTTAATAAATATGTTTCTATTACAGTACCAATTCCTATGCAACTGCATGGATCGAATAGCTGAGGAAGCGACCTGGGTGGATACAGGAGATTAAACATCACCATCAAATCTAATCCGCTCCAAGCGATCCGGTAATGCCATCTCAACACGCCACCATTTTTGGGGAACAATTTCTAAACTTGCAACACTAGAAGGTAAATAAAATCGGCTCTCTATAAATACGAGATCTTGAACAAATATTGGTAGCTATTTTTGAAACTACTAAAAAATATTGACAAAATGTTGCCAGTGTACGAAAATTCTACTAAAATGGTAGCGTTGTTGTGTCAAGCAGTATGTTAAAATATTTATCTAAATTGTTCTATCAGAACTAAACTATTGTATATAATTAGTTATAATATGGTATATGTTATAACTTTAGGGTCAATTAAACAGTATGATGTCTAGTATTGTAAGGTAGACGAAACAGGGATAAGAGCATTGTCTTAAATTTTAAATATTACTAATAGGAAAATATATTATTTCATTATTATTTTTTTTGTATTACATTTTATTTTGTACCTCAGGACTGATCTTAAATGTTCTCTTTTAATTATACTAAATTAAATTTGTTAACTATTTTTAGGTAGCCAATTATTTATTTAATGAAAATAAATTATTAAAATGATTAGGATTTTATATAATTGGTTGCCGTATAAGGTGATAGTCTACAAATACCTAGAGATTATCGTTACATATCGAGAAACTCTCAAGATGTTCTCTCTCTCTGTCTCTCTTGTGTATTGGTGTATATGTTTATACAGGGTTAATAAAGAGTTTACCAAGACCATACCATACAGAATACTCATGATGCTGTACCATTTTCGACAAGAAACGAATGTGCAATTCGAATGTAGAATTCATATAAGTATAGTGATGCTTTCAGACGTACAGTTGTCAGGAGGTAGTTGGCCTTCAGCCATTCCATAAGGCCTTCTAAGGGTTTGAATTTCACCCGATCCTGTGTATTTTTCTTATCTTTATTTTGTCTGTGTTGATCCATATTTAATAATATAATCTGTGAAATTTCACCATAATTCACCTAATCGATTTTAAGTAAAATATATTTTTATGATTGCGGGCTGCTTGCGTTAAACATGTTTATGCGGCCTGCTAAACGTTTTAAACTAAAATTAAATTTACTTATTCGACTTTTTCCCATCAATAAATATATTGTTATAAAATTAATTATAATAAAATGTTAGTAGTGATATATATTAAACCGAAAATTGTTTTTCTGACGAGTGAATAAATCGGCAACTTGTTCACACAGGTAATACGAACGCGTTGCGTCTGCTAGAAATTCTATTTTGCATTAAAAATCGTATATGAAATCTTTGCTTTTTAAAATTTTTATTCTAATGTTTATTATAAAAGTAGTTTTGTAAATTAATAAGTGTTACTTTATGTGCGGTGGGCGGGCTGCAACAAATAATTTGGCCCGTTAATGCAAAAGATTGCTCTCACCCCTGATTTATAGATTTAAAAACAAACTCCCTGTTTCGTCACCATACTGCGACTTCAATAAGTGAAATGTACTTAAATATAGAACTTGATAATATAATGTGAAGGTCTTACGTAAGGTGTTGTTATGAATTTTTTTATTATATACAATCATGGGCTCACTAGTATAATTACAGCAACTATTAAGTTTTCAATATACACGTAGATCGTAAAACGTTATCATGCAACTTGTAACGTGTAATTCAAATTCAAAATATCTTTATTCATGTAGGTCTATTACAGACTCTTATGATACGTCAAATCTACCGTCAGTTCGGAATGATATCGAGATGAGAAGAACTGACAAGAAACTCAGCTCGTATTTTTTCAAATAATAGTGGAACATGTTTATGATAAATACAGTTATTAAAATTCAAATTTGGGAGAATAGAGTGACCACCAGCATATGCTATCGCAAAGAACAAAAAATTTAATCAGTGTTCACAACCTGATATAGTATTACATGTAAATGTAACTTTACACGAATATACATTATTTACTTCGACCAATAATGCAAGATCCGCAGTTTTTTAGGAGTTTTCAGCATCTATTGTGTATCACTGCCCATGCTTCAACTGTATTTTTTTAATGGATCACAATGGAAATGGTACGCCTACATTAATACTACATTATCAGTTCACACTAGATAGGCACCAGTGGAGGATAAGGATGCTGCATCCGTCTGCTCTAACTGTATCCGCTGACGCCATTCACTGGTGCCCAGTGAAGGATAAGAGTCAAGAATACTCAAGAAGAGTAAGAGCATAAAGTCAGCTCAGTTAGCACATCGTGACAAATTCACTAAGTATTTGTTGGATGGATGGAATTTTGTAACTCTTTCACGCAAAAACTACTCAACGGATTTTGATGAAACTTTACAGTAATATAGCTTATATATCGGAATAACACTTAGAGCATTCAAACAGCGTAAATATGTCAATATTACGTGCCGTACGTCAAATATAGATAAAAAAAAAATATAAAGTTGAAGCTATAATTTAAAAAGATAGTTTGTAACTTGGGTGAAATACATTAAAAATAAAAAAAATAAAATTGTATATTGGTCGAAATATAATGATAAATGTCAAGGAAGTGTGATGCAGACGAAGTTGCGCGGGGCAGCTGGTTAATAATAATGCAATTTTAATTATGAAGCGTTACATCTACTTGTATATTGTAAAGTTAATTTAAAACTCGATGTGCGATACAAGAAATTATTTATTTCGATTATTTTATTCGTTCCATTTAGGTATTTTTGATGCTATACTTTTTAATACATGTACATATATTAAAAATATTATAAATTTAATAATTGGAACTTATGAAATGATGTATCTTATAAAGGATTTTTTTTTAATTATTTTAAATAATTATTATAAATTCATAATCAAAATGAAATGTCTGTTATATTGCTAATAATTGTGTTAAATTATTAATCAGAAAATGAATTTTAAAATATATCTTGCTTTTAATTAAATGAATATTTTAATATATATTTTCATTTAATTAAAATATAATTAAATCTAGTATCGACATCGAGTATATTATATAGTCTCAATATATAATATAAAGTGTGTATAAGTATAAATGAATTGCACATTATACCTTTTAAGATATATAACGGCCTTTTCCCAATCATTAAACGGAAATGGCTCGTATATTCGGCACCTTTAAGTCTGTTATTCATTAGCAAATTTATGTGGGCTTGATTAATATTTGTCTTGTTTCATAATCAGATATTGGCTTGAACATGTCAATTTTTTTTATTGTACACTTAGCGTCATATATATGTGAGTTGTCAAGAATTTTATAGAAAAGGTTATTATAGTATTTAAAGCTATCATATTTAAAATATAAAACAAATTAATTAAATTTTTTAACCTCTAAAAGAATAATATATAATAAAAATATTTCTATCGTGTAGTTTAATTTTTCGAAGGTTCTCGATTGGTTACTAGGACCATACAAACAGTTTATGTAAACTACCACGCATACAATTCAATTTAATGAAAGAAATGTCAACTTTTTTTTTATTTATGAAGATCTGTTCGCCTGAACAGAAATGGTAGCTAAGAACCATTTTAAACATAAAAAACGGATCAATATAGATCTAGTAGTTTGCGAGCTATAATGCCCCAAACATATATACAATCATATTACAATTATTTTATAAGTTATATATTAGTACTTATATACATGTGCAAAACGGTGTCACTTTGTGATAAATTTATGTTTTATGATATAAAGGTGATATACATTAATATAAGAAATGTTGGGTTTATACGGTACCTAGTTATATATATAATATATATATATATATATTATTTTTAAACTTTCGTGTTTAATGTACATTATTTATATTATTAACAGGGACATTATTTTATGGCAAATAAGGTAAAAATAAAAGGTATTTACCTGTTTCGACGTTTCGACTAGGTTGCACTAGTCGTGGTCACGAGCTGAGTGACTGAGAGAGAGAGGTATATATTATTTAACCTTTAAATATCATCATCTGCTTCTTTTTTATCCCATTTATTTGTGGTCGGCGTAATATGTTTTTCTCTTCCATTCATCCCTGTTCGCAGTCATCTCGTTATTTACTCCTATTCTTGCCATCTTTCACACAGTCCATCCATCTCTTTTTCGACCTTCCTCTACCCTTATAACCATCCACATTCATATGTAACACCTTCCTTAAAATATTATCTTCAGTCATTGCATGCGAGGTAAAATTATTTGTGTTAAGACCCGGTTAATAATATAAATAATAATATATATGTTTACAAATAAGTTGTTCAAATTATTTAATAATAATTGAAACAGTAGCAGTATTAATGTATGAAATTATATCGTACAGTTGCCATATTGCATCTGTGAGAAAATTAGCTTTAACGATCTGTTTACTGTCATACAATAAAAGTAATTTAAATCGACAGTCAACGCTCCCAACTGCATAGAAAATAACCAGACCGATACAAACTATTATATTCATGAATACAAATGTTTGCACCGTACGAGGAATCAAACCCGCGACTATCGGCAGTAAAGCGGTGTGCTAGACTGCTATACTACTGAGGCCGAGGTGTTAATATGTATATTGTAAAAATGTTGGTTCTCGAATTATGAATTTTACTATTTTTGTAATAGAAAACTAATAGAAGCGTTACTTTATCTAATTTTTACTTTTAACGTGTAGAACATCTTTATAATAGTCATAGATCTTGCTTTTATTTGCAATTGGATTTCATATATCCACTCAAAACCATTGAATGTTCTCGTAGTCATATGTAGTTAGTATTTCTACATTTTATTAGTTTTCCTACTTTAGTCTCGTTAGTATTCTACGATGATTCTTTATCAAGCCCTATTTGTGGCTCTAATAGATTTTTTTTTATTTCTGTATCCTTTAGGAAAGGCAAAGGGAACTGTGCCCATACAACTATGTGTGTAAGAGGTACTGTTTATTGAATGACAGTAGACATAAAGGAAAAAATCTCAAATTACAATTAATATTAATATATAAGTTTCGAAAGCTGTCTATCCTCTCCGATATTAAAGTCCTGAGTATATTACAATAATTCCACAGATTAAATGTTCATTCAGTAGAAAAACAAACCGCGTATGTTGTACTGTAGAAAAAATATTACTAAATACACTAAATTATTTTTATGTGTTATTAATTCCAAACCATATACTTTTTATGTAATTGTTAGTTTATTATTTATTTGTTTATTGAGATAAAGTCAGTACTCAAAATTACCTACAACATTTATATTGGAATGAGCATTCTGTATGTAATAATATTTTTTCTATGGCAACACTAACGACTAGTTTATCGATCTGAGAATTATAAAGTCTTGATCCTGATATATCCCATAAAGTAGCGACTTAAATATTACTTTTAAGCAGATTGTTGATATGAGTAATGTATATTCACAAATTTAAATATAATTGTTCAAAAACATTACAACCAAATGTAGATTATATCAAGAAATTATAGTCTGTTCTTACCTTTAAATGT